TCTGTTCAAGTTTTTCTCAGGGCTCTCAAGTGCTAGAAAAGGACTTTTTCCCAAGCCTGGCTGACGCTGTTTTGATGCGCTGTGTTGGGTTCTCTCTCCAAGTTTTTCTCAAGGCTCTTGAGTCCTAGAAAGGGAATTTATCCCAAGCCTGGCTGATGCTGTTTTGACGTGCCGTGTTGGTTTCTCCCTCTAGGTTTTTCTCAAGGCTCTTGAGTCCTAGAAAGGGACTTTTTCCCAAGCTTGGCTGATGCTGTTTTGATGTGCTGTGTTGGTTTCTCTCTCCAAGTTTTTCTCAAGGCTCTCAAGTGCTAGAAAAGGACTTTTTCCCAAGCCTGGCTGACGCTGTTTTGATGCGCTGTGTTGGGTTCTCTCTCCAAGTTTTTCTCAAGGCTCTTGAGTCCTAGAAAGGGACTTTTTCCCAAGCCTGGCTGACGCTGTTCTGACATGCTGTATTGGTTTCTCTCTCCAGGTTTTTCTCAAGGCTCTCAAGTCCTAGAAAAGGACTTTATCCCAAGCCTGGCTGACGCTGTTTTGATGTGCTGTGTTGGTGTCTCTCTCCAAGTTTTTCTCAAAGCTCTCAAGTGCTAGAAAAGGACTTTTTCCCAATCTTGGATGACGCTGTTCTGACGTGCCTTGTTGGTTTCTCCCTCCAGGTTTTTCAGACGGCTCCCAAGTCCCGGAGAGGCCTCCGAAGCCGCTGCCACGCCGGATCAACTCGGAGCGGAAGGCCGGGAGCTGCCAGGCGGGAGCTGCCAGCGCTGGGGCCAGCACCTCCCTGCAGCTCTCCAGCGAGATCGAGAACCTCATGAGCCAAGGCTACTCATATCAGGACATTCAGAAAGCACTGCTCATTGCACATAACAATATCGAGATGGCCAAAAACATCCTGCGGGAGTTCGTGTCCATCTCCTCCCCCGCGCACGTGGCCACATAGCACAGACTTCTCCACACCTACGACCGCCGTGGACCAACCGCCCGGGCAGCTGCAGCCCAGCTGTGCACCAAAGGGGAAGGGGGTTCCTTTAGAGACTTCGTGCTGAGGTCAGTCCTGCCTCTCCAGAGAATCCAGGGGTTTGCGGTTCCGGATTTCAAAGCGGAGGGACGGAGCGAAGCAGAACGGTGTTTTATACAGTGTACGTCTTGGAGTCCTTTACCCCCTACCTCTTGTCTGAGAGAACAGATTTTTTTTTCCAGGGTGTTGGCAGGGAAAGGTGGTGTCGTGACAAGGGTCAGCCGATGCCCTGGAGGCTGTGGGGAGGGGGAGTGTTTTGTGCTGTGAATTTTAAGCGAATGCTCAGAGAAACAAAAGTCTCGAGGTCGGTGTGGTGTGTCCTGTGGCTCGTGGTACTAGGGTCGGGTCTGTTTGCTGCTGTCTGTCTGGCTCAGGCTTCTTAGAGCAGTTGGGAGGTCACTTTCTGCTGAGAATAAACCTTGGAAGAATCGTCGGATTGCTTCCGTTTGCCGTGGCACGTCCCTCTCACCTGTAATCATAGCAGTTATTGCTTGGGACTCCAGTCCTCCCTTGCTGTGTGGGGAGAGCAGGACCTGCTTCTGTCAGGGTCGGATCCCTCAGTGTCAGGGTCACATTTCTCTGGCGTGTGTCTCTCTAGATTCCTGGATATGCCAGGAGTTTGGCATGGCTTTGAGGGCCGGGAGAGGCTGGGAGGAATCAGAGTGAGGGCAAAGAACTGGCTGCTGCTTCTCCTTTTTTATATAGCCTTGAGCATTTTGTGCTTCAATGCTCAGACTCCAGCGTGGCCCTGCCGGGCCGGAGCAGCCATCACTGGCCACTCCCCTGAGCTCTTCCCTAGGAATGTTGCACCTGGTGAATATGGTGTTTTATTTATCTTAATTGCATGGTGGCTGTTGCAGAGTAGTGGCCTTCACACACATTCCATCCCCTCCTTCAGACAGCTTGTTTTTGCAGGAGACCTTTTCGTGCCAGAATGTTTTGTTGTGGAATTGGTAGATGCAGCTGACGTGTTTGTTTGGTCTCTCAGCTGCTTTGCAGTTTTCTGCATGGCTGTCAGAAACACAACCTGGGGGCTTCTCTTTCCATGTCCATTACTCTAAGGTATCACCAGATCTCGTGGTGAGAAACAGGTCTGGGAAAACTCTTTGTGTTTGTGGAAGGATCACGTGGCTTTAAAGGTCAGAACTCAGCTGTTCCAGTGAGGAAACCTGACTTGCATACTCAGCTACTTCACTCTGTTCATGGAGCAGGAGTGGATGGTTCCTTTGGAGAGGGTTTGAATCGAGGAGGGCACACACAGGTCACAGCCCTTGGAGCACATCCAGCACTATTTTGCAGCTCTCTGAGGTCAGCAGTGTTCATTAGGCAAAGGGCTGCAACCTGGGCTATTGCTGGAGCAATTCTGGCTGCAGTTTGGCCTTTTGAAGAATCCAGAGGCCAAGCCCAGACCTCAGCCAAACCGTCGGCAGAGAGGGATCAACAAGTGTTTACCGAGGGAACTGAGCATAAAATGAGTTTTTCTAATTAATGCAGAGGTTTCTCTCTTAGGCCTACAGCTTTAGGAATTGATGCAGTGGGGAGTCCCAGGCAGTTTGACAGCAGGAACTGTCTCTCTTTACTCCTTTCCTTTCTCAGAATCCCTAAGGAGATCTCCTGCAGCACTTCCAAGGCCATCCCCACTTGCTATTTTGGGGCCAGGGCCGATGGCTGCTGGGTCAGCACAGTGCTGGGATTGGTGTCAGGGGCACAGAGCTCTGCAGGGCTGCACAGGGGCCAGGAAAGGCTCTGGCCCTGGGGTGAGTTGCAGAGGTGCTGCTGTCGGTGCCTCCTGCCCTCGAGGAAGGAGAGGGCAGAGCTGTTCTCCCTGCCCTGCCCCGTGGTGCCAGAGCCAGCCCTGCTGCGTGTGCCGAGGCAGGAACAGCACAGCTCTGGGTGTTGTCTCCTGGGGAGCCTGAGCAGTCAGTCCCAGCAGTGATTTGCTTGTCCTGGAGAAGCAGGTGATAAAAACTCATTTGTGAGGGAACACCACGGTCCAATTTCTCTCTTTTTCACGCTCTCTCTCCAGTGCTGCTGCTTTGCTCCCTGTGGGTTCGGAGCCACTTTGTGTCTGCCTCGCTGTGTAAAACTCAGTGCAAGGGTGTCCAAGTGTGACATGTGACTCTTCCACTGCCAAGGCTGTGTGAGAGCCGAGTCCAGGCAGCTCCAAAGCCTTAACTCTTGCACAGTGTGTGTGATCAGACTAGTGATTCCCTGTCCAAGCCCTTCGTGGCAGGCTGCTCATAAGGCTCACTCCTGCCTTGGCAGAGCTCTTCCAGGCCTGTCTTTGGGGGTTTCTGTGCCAAGATCTCTTCCTCTGGGTGTTGTTGCAGGTAGTAGAGATTAGAGAGAGCAATCTTTGTGGCATGTATCACTGGTTTTTCTGCATGTGTCCTTTCTGTGCACTGTTTGTGTCTCAAACTGATGTAAGAAACTTTAAATCGTGGCTTTTCTTCCTTAAACCTGTCAGAGTTTGCTAATTCCACTGAGTGCAGCAGAGTCTTGGCCATGTCTCGTGGCTCTGCTCTGCCAGGTCAAGCCAAGCACTCAACCAGTGGATTTTTCTTGTCCTTTCAGCAAGGTAAGCCCAAGATTGATTGCTCTTCTTTCCCTTCACCTCCTTGGTCTTTATTCCTAAGAGATTAACTCGATGATGTGACTTTTAAAGAGGAAAAAATACCAACCCCAATGTCCTAGTGCCTTTCTTAAGGGAACGCTGCAGTGCCAGGCTGGATCCCTCTGGGCAAGAGAAGAGAACTAGACAAGCTGCCAAGATGCCTTTGAGCACGAAGCTGCTCAGAAAGGGGTGAAAAGGAGGAGCCAGAGAGATGGGCAACTGCCACTTCAGCTGTGACACTGTGTTTTGTAGCATTTCAGCCCTGGAGGTTTCTCACCTCACCTGTGCTGACAGCGACCTGCTCAGCTTGGGGGGGAAGAGAGGAGAACCACAGGGGACAAAGTTGTACCCAAATACAAGTTGTGCTGATAAAACCTGCTGGTTCTCCCCTTTGCCCATCCACGAGCCAAGCAGGAAAGACTTTGGGCCAGCAGGGAGGTGAGATATGGCTCTGGGTGGGTTTCCAGGTGACTTTCTTGTGTCCAGCACCACTGCAGCCGAGCAGCAATGTGCAATTCTTCCCTCTGAACAGCTTTCTGTGCATGTCCCTGCCCCAGCTCTGCCCCTGGGCACCCACCCGGGCTCAGGGCACAGCATGTTGCTTCCTGCACTCTCCCCATGCCATTCCTGTAGCTGCTCCTAAGGCAGAGTCAGGGCTCTCAATGGCTTTGGTTTATTCTTCCAGCTGAGCAAGAAAAAAAGAAATAAATGCAACTCCCGAGGCACTTTCAATGTGCCACTTTGCAAAATTAGTGGGGAATAAGGACACTTCTTTTTTTCAAGTTCCTTCTGGAAATGCTGGTTGAAATTCCCAGTGGGGGGAGGAACTGTTGTTGCTGTTGTTCATTTTTTTTCTTCTTGAATGGCAACCACCGATTTGTAAAGTGTCAGTGTTAAAAAAAATGTTGAGATTTGTTTTTTTTCACGAGATATTTTAAAAAGCAAAAAAAAGGTATAATAGTGTCATTAATATAAAACTATAATAGCAGTATTTAATCCTTTCAGATCTGTAAAGAATAAGGAAAAAAAACAGAAGGTAAATATTCTTACAGAGAGTAGCTGAGCTTTAAGGTTCACTCGGTTTTAAAGTCCTCGTTTTGTTTGCATTGTTAATGTTTAGAGGTTATACTAATGTTATTTATTAATTGTTCCATCCTTGTATGCCGTGCCCACTAAGAGCTTCTTGTTTGGGATTTCATTCACCTGTGTCAGTAAAAAAAAAAAAAAAAAAAGACAAGAAAAAAATGAAAACAAAGTTTTATTTTTAAATAAAATTTCCTTTGTTGTAGCCTATGGTGTGTGTTGAGTTGGGTCTGTGGGAACAGGAGCTGCTGCTCCAGCCTGATGAAGGGTTCAGGCTGCTGGAGTTGATTTCACAGCTTTTTGTGTCTGGTTGTAGCTCTTTCAGCTCTTCAGGCCACGGACAGGAAACTTTTCTCCAATGGTCCTGCTAGTAAAACAGATTCTAAGAGAATCCGTGAGTAAAGTCTAACAGAATCACTGGCTAAAATCTAACACTCAGTGAACAAAGTCTAACAGCATCCCTGGATGAAGTGTAAGGGAATCACTGCCCAAAGGCTAAGAGAATCAGTGGAAAAAATCTAATGCAATCACTGAATAAATTCTAACAGAATCAGTGAATAAAGTCTAAGAGAATCACTGGTTAAAGTGTCTACTCCATCAGGACCCAGAAGGACCTGCTGAGCTCCAGTTCAGGCCACGAATACTGACAGGAACCTTTTCCCCACAGGTCTTGCTAAGTAAAACAGAATCTACAACAATCAGTAAGTCTTAAGAGAATCACTGGATAAGATCTAAGAGAGTCCCTGGATAAAGTCTAAGAGAATCCCTGGATAAAGTCTATGAGTCACTGGGAAAAGTCTAAGCAAATCATTGAATAAAGTCTAAGGGAATCAGTGGCCCAAAATCTAATAAAATGAGTGAATAAAGGCTGAGCCTCACTGGACAAAGTCTCTACTCCATCAGGACACGAGTGGAAGGACATCCACAGGCTTGTTACCATCCCTGGATGGACCTCAGGAAGATTGTGGAGTCTCAAGGATTCTGCAGTGTCCCCTGGACTCCAGCAAGACCCAGTCAGGCTCCACGAGCCTCTCACAGACTCTTAGGACACATTGCAAGAGACTCTGAAAGAGCTCAAGGATTACTGCAGAGCAAGTCTGTTGTATAGATAATTAGTATTAGATTAGGTAAGGTTTAGTAGTTAATATCTACATGTATCCTATATATAATATACATAATATTCTCATTCTGGGACAGAATTATTAGTGAAGAAGTACTCCACTCTAGTAAAACAGCACTTGATGAAATGAAATCATCTCCATTTACCTATTCAATGACTTCATCTATATCTATCCCATTAAAGCAACAGGAATCCTGTGCATCATTCCTGGGGAGCAAAACCAAGTCTAACAGCAAAGTTCCTGGTCCTAGAGCTGGAACACAACCTCTGGCAAGGAGCAATTCCCACAGCTCCTTCCACCTCTGCTGCAGGTGTCAAAATCCAAGGGTTCTCTAGGAGCAGCAGTCGCCATGAGCTGTCCTGAAATGATCTGTCAGAAGTGTTTGTAGATTTATCACCAGCTGCCACAGCTGCCAATTACCTCCTCCTGTAGAATCTAGCAGTAATAATATGGTTCTGAACAAGATTTTACTGTCTGTCTTGGCTAGAAATCCCATAGGTCAGTAGAAATAATCCCTAGGAGTTCTTAATGCAATTAGCTATTCCAAATCCTGGGTGGAATTTCTTTTACCAGTACCTACCAACCAACCACCCAATTTTGCCTTGTCATGTAATATGTGTACCAGTAGTACTGCAATTCCCTATTGAAAAAGCCACTGCTAATCAGCCCCTGCCTAATTACCTCTGTGCACTTAGCACCGATGCACTTGCAATGCAAAGCAATGAGATGTTATCCATACAGCAATGAGATGTATCAATGAGGTATCTCTGGGGAACTACAGTAGTTAGGAGATCAGTAACAGGGGCAAAGGGAAGGGAAGAAACATTAATATCAGTTAAGATTCTCTATGTATTGATCTCTATACATTCTTGACTATGTATCTATCCCTGGATCTCTACCATCTCTCTACCTCTGTATCTTTCTCTATATTCAGATCTTATCTGATTCGCTCCACATTTATCAGCACCTCTAACTGCACTTAGCTCCTGTGTAGACTCTCTTGGATTCTACTGCCTGACTTACTTCCCTGCACTCCTCAGGACCTATGTTAGCCTCCACTACTCAAAGTGCTGCAGCAACTCCAGAGGTCAATGTATAGGTAGTGCATTTGGTGTTTGTAGGAAGTTGCTCCAGATTCTCCTGCTGAGATCTAAGACTTTTATTGACAATATTAGCAGGATCATCACATACTCCTATGGTTACCTATTAGGATACTTACGTGGATGAGTCTTGGCAGTTATTAGTGTAATGGACACTGTCTATCTCCTTCTCACTAGTCCTTTCTTAGCATCTCCAGGGTAGGCATGGACCACCTTAGAAACTCCAAGGGTTGCTGGCTAAGACCCTTGACCCTTCCCAGGCCTGGTAAGAACAAACTCAGAACTCAGCTTGGAAGTTGTCCTTT